GCTATCTTCAAAAACCTACAACAGTCAGGGTTGGGTAAGGCTGAAGCCAGGATCCCAGAATTCATCTGAGTCTTCCATTGAGTGGCAGGGATGCAGGTACAATAGGCATCATCTGCTGGCTTCCAGGGTGCACTTTAGCAGGAAGCTGAAGTGGCAGTAGATTGTGCTGGACTCAAACCAGGCACTTGGATATGGGATATAGGGGTCCCAAGCAGCAAAACTGTGCCAAGTGAGTGATATAAGAACTCCAGGTTCCTTACCTACTAAGCATTGGGCTTAAAGAAATTCATCAAAATAACTAAATATACCAAAATTCCTAATTTCAAACAAGACTGGCTTAGAAATTACAGAGAGGATAGGAATTTGGCCTAGAGATTAAGTTGCTGGTTGGAACATCCATGTCCTACATTAGAGTACCTAGGTTTGACTCTCAGCTCCACTCCTGATTCAGGTTCCTGCTAACATACACCCTGGGAGACAGCAGATAATGCCTTAAATACATGGGTCCCTGCCACCTGCGTGGGAAACCTGCATAGAGTTCCAGGCTCCTGGCTTTAGCCTGGTCTGCCCTAGCTTTTGTGGGCACTTTGGAAGTGAACTGCCAGATTGGAGAGCTCCTTCTTTAAAGAAAATAAAAATTTCAAAAAAAATTGAGACCATCTAACCACATGCTTTGTTCCAAAATTTCAGTGTTTCAAATGAAGTAAAATATCAATTTATAAGGATTGTTAGATTTTTAAAAATGTAGAACTTCTGTTAAATTCCAGAACTATGAGTTCAAAAACCGTAGAGCAAAAATCAATCTTTTTTTTTTTTAACAAAAAACAATCCCAGCTTTTAGAAGCTCAAGAAAAGGGCTTAGTTGTTAATGCCACTTTTATTTCAATTTTTAAAAATTACCTATGACAATCTATTTTCTTTATGCTTTTTATATGGGTTTCATATACAGCTATAGCTATAGCTTTTGCTGATAAATCAATGCTAGCACTGAGCAGATCTTTCAAACATGTTTTGTATCAGGTAGACCCTTGTTGCAGCAGATAGCAAAATTTAAGAGGCCAAGTTCCAAGTTTTATTTATTATTTTGAAATTCTGAATGGCAAAGAAGGAAGTAGACAAAGATTTCTTATCCCTTGGGTCACTCCCCAAAAGCCTGCAACAACCAGAGCTGGCCCAGGCTAGAGCCAGGAGCTGGGACCTCAATTCAGGTCTCCCATGGAAGGGAAGGAATTCAAGTATGTGAGCCATCACCTGCTGCCTCCAGTGTGCACAAGAGCAGAAGCTGGGATATGGAGCAGGGCCAAGACTCAAAATCAGGCACTGCAATATGGAATGTAAGTATCCCAAGTGCCATTTTAACTGCTGTGCCAACACCTGCCCCTCAAGTTTGTTATTATGCTTTATTGGAAAGGATAGAGGCAAGCAAGGGTGGGAGGTGTGAGTAGTAGGCGGGAGTATGGAGTGGTCCATTTCTTGAGTGAGGCTGTTCTGTGACACTCCTTGGACAGCACCCTTCCATTCATTCCTTTTCTCCTTCTCAGGTCACTTGACACCACAAAAGATGGTTTTCCTTCCCTGTCAACATTTTCCTGCTAAAGGACTCATAGCAAAGAGTTAGATCATTATAAAAAAAAAATGACCCCTTGGGAAGAGCTATATGATAACTCCTTGGAATCAAGAAAGGGGCTGAGAAAGGATCCTGGGGCAGTTGTAGTAGAGAGCGCACCAATAAGGTTGTGAGAAGGTTCTGCAACCAACTCTTCAAGCCGATACTGGCCCAGGCCAACCCCAGGCACAGGATCACATTGCCCATGGCAGTAAGACAAGTACATATAAGACAGTGGTTCTCCAACGTGGCCACACATCATAAGAATTATCCAATGCTCAGGCTGCACTTGATGTCAATTAAATCAGAATCCCAAGGTGTGGGACTCAGCCATGAGTTGCATTATTGTTGAACTCCCTGATTCCTCCTATAACCAAGATAGAAAATCAGTGTCAGAGTATTGCATCCCCACCTCAAAACATGCCAAAGGGCAACCTGAGGAGTTTACCAAAATGCAAATTGCAATTAAGTAGGTCTGGGTGGGAACTGAGACTGGGAGAGGAGGCTGGCACTGCTGGGGCAGGAGGTGGTTCTGGCAGAGCCATCTATGACCTAGCTCTGGATACTGCCTGCATGTACGCCCAGAGCTTCTGGGGAAGGCCTGGAAACTGGGCTACTCCAGCACCAGGCCAGGGATTGTTTCCACAAGGTCAAGTTGAAACCTTAAAACGGTTCTCATAGGAGAATTCAGCTATCCCGGTCCAGTCATCTTGCAGACTCTCAAATCCATCAAAGGCTGCAGAGTTCTCTAGAACACCCTGCGAGTGTCAGTGACGGACAGGCCCGTTTTCCCTCTGACTCTAACAAAAGCAGGGAGCACCTGGTCTTGCTCAGCCGGCACTCACACCTCCAAGGCTCAGTTCTGAAAATGGAATATTAGGCAAGAGGAAGAAGTCTATTCTTCTATATCTGCATCAGCGTCTGGCATGCAGGGGACAACACTGCCGAAAGTTGTCACATCCTAGCATCCTTTAAGAGCAGAGAACAAAGGCAGAATCCTCAGAAAAGGAACAATTTCACAACCCAGAGCCCATGGCTCACATAGTGCATACGCTGCAATCTTGCAAAGATCTTTGCTAACCTTTTTCTGCATGAAGGCCTTAACTTCTACCTATGAACATGAGAAATGGTGATACACGCTCTGCTTACTCATCTACAGTCACCAATAGGACTAATTTTCAGTTGTCTCTAAGGTCATCTGAACAGTTCATCTTTATAAAAATCACAATTTTCCATGACTCAAGTTCACTTTGACCAAGACACCAAAACAGGAGGGAAAACATTTTGACTCAAAGCTCTTCACAGTGTAGATTCAGAGGAAGAATCTTCGCACACATCTCACGATCCACATCCCCCAACCTGTATTTAACAACTCTGCCTGGCTCTGTCCAAAGTGGGCGGCCAAGTCAGATCAGTAGTACCTTTGATGGTTTTCAGGTACACACATTGGGTGGCAAAAATAACAGCCCAAGAATAATAGAGCACTTCAGAGGAAAATAGAATTATCTAGCTGAAGTGGAGCTGGAGACATCAAAAGGTGCCCTTTTTGAATCAGACTCTGAATCAGGTGTAAGTGGGATGAATTAGTGCCCAAAGGAGGCCCGAGGCCAGAACACAGCCTGAAAAGGGGGAGAAGTGGCCGCTGAAGGTCCCCGTGCACCACCAAGGACCTTTGGCTGCCTTGGTAGTTTTGATGTCAGCTTCATTTCTAGTTTCCCAGCTCCCATGCAGTCCCCACAGGCTGCAAATCAGTGGAAACTTAACACATCTGGTGGATTTTACAAACCAATTCTACCGTTCTTAAATGCTTCAGCATTTAAAATGATTAATTATTGAATCCACACAACATTCCCACGTGGTCCTTCCACACTATCAGTCCCATGTTCAGTACTGAGCCCCGAGAGACAAGATGAAGCGATCCGCCCAGAGACACAGCACAGGTGGCCCGCATCGGGCTTTGACTGCGTTCCTGGTTCTGCCAGTCCCACCGCACCCAGGAGCTTTGAGGACCTGCCATGCACCCAGCGCAGGGCAGCAACGACCGCACAGGTGCCGGCTCCAGGCTTTTTCAAGTCACAGCAGAGGGTGATGCACCAGCCGCCCAGCCAGACTCTCACCACCACCTGCCTGGGTTTTCCTACCGAGGAAAAACTCGTACTTCGATCTTCTAAGCCGCACCCGCCTAAAGAACGCTGCTACCTGCGAAGGTAAGCGTTGGCAGGGCTGCCACGACCTGCACTGGCCCAGCCCCCGAAGCGAGGTGACCGCACCCTTCCAAGGGACAAAACTCGCGAAGGTTCCTCTTCCTGACGGCAGAGCCCACAACCAAAGCGGCTGGTGCTGCCTGGCGCCCTCCAGCCTGCACACTAGCCGCGAACGCGCACTCGCGGCGCTCCGACCCGCCGCCTGGCGCTGGCATCTTCCGCCCAGGGTCCCCAAGCCTCGCCAGGCGAGCAGAGGCGGCGGCACGGGGGGCGTCCAGCCTCGGCCTCCCAGCCGCCGGGCTGCCCGGCCGGTGTCCGCTCGCGCCCCAGCCGCCACCTGCCCGCGGCCGGCCCTCCCCGCCAGCGCCCCAGTCGCCCTTACCTGAGCCGGAGATGTGGACGCGGAGCGGGCGGCCCCTGCTCGAGGACGCCGAGAGGTCGCTCTGAGAGCGGCCGCGGGGGCTCGGGTCCCCGGGCAGCCAGCGCAGCGTCGGCGGCGGGGCGGGCGCCTCGGAATCGGGGCCGGGAGCCGCAGTCGCCGGCCCAGCCGGCTCGCACGGGGGCCCCGCGGGGCGCCTGCCCGCCTCGGCCATCGGCTCACGGCGGCGGGCGCGGAGCACGGGGTGGGGCTGGCGCCGAGGGCTGCGCTGCCCCGCGCTGCCCCGCGCGCGGCCACCGGGAGGCGGCGGGGAGGGCGGGAGGCTGGACGCCGGGCGCCGCGGAGCCGGTGGGGAGGGCGGGAGGAGGAAGAGGACAGAAAAGTTTGCACAGGAAGGAGACGCCTACAGCCGGTTCTCGCTCCCGCGGGCGAAAGCCGCAGGGCTCGGAGCTGGGCCGCCCTCGGTGCCCGCCACCCTGCCCGGCTGCGCGGCTTCTCCCCCCAAGCCCGGGCGCTGCCCCTTTGGCAGGATGGCAGCCGAGCGAGTCTCGGGAAAGTGGAGTTTGAGCTTTAGGAGCCGCGATGCCAGGTCAGGGTTAGCAGTGCCAATTCCACTGGGCGGGGGAGGAGGTGCCCTGGACACACCACACCCTTGAACCTCCCCAGGATGGCGCAGGGATGAGCGTACCCAGTTTTCACACCCAGAACTTCAGCACCAAAGGGCATTGGGCTTGTCTGTGCCGCACGGGCGGCTACAGTCAAGCCCGGTGACCCTCCCACGGCACCCCTGCCCCTCAAAGCCCATCTCTACCTCTCACTGTGGCCATGCTCCTGGGTTTCTGTCCCCTGGGTCTGGCTCAAAGATCGCGTGTAAAAGAACCGTCTTCCAGAAGCGAATGGATGTCATCAACTTGATGTCTGAGCCCGAGCTCCGTGAGGGAAAGACAGCTGCGTTGATGGCCAACATGCCACACCTGGCTGCCATTTTCGTTGAAATTTTGCTAATTCAGCTGGTGACTACATCTTCAGCTTGATCAGTTTTGCAATTAAGCCCGCCAGTCGTGGTTTGCCTGGTGCCATCAATCAGGCACAGGGGTCCCAAATCCTGAAAGCTCCCAGTGAAGGAATCATTTTCCTGGGTTCACCTGCAGGCCATAGAGAGCCAGCAGGAGGAGAAAGAGAGAGGGGTGGGGTGGTGGAAGAGGGTTAGCAGTTACCACCTATAACGCACACATCCATACTCCAGATGCCATGCCACACACTTTGCACAGAATACATTATTTAACAAGAGAGCAGACCCAGCCAGAGAAGAGGAACAAAAGCAGAGCAAGTTCCTGGAGGAAGCGCACACCAGTACCCACAAAAGCCTTAGGAGCAGCTTAGGTCAAAGAACATCTCCCCCTTGAGCACTTTAAGAGGGCTTTCACCTGTCATTCTCACAGCATGTCCGTGGGGGAGGATATGCTCATTCCGGGTTTGCTGCAAAAGCTGCCCAAATCCAGATCCACCCAGTCTGCCAAGGTTGCTCTATTTTCTACTAACAAACTCTTTAAATGTGTACTACAAATGTAACTTTATTTCTTGGTATCTTGTGGCAATGTCTCTGCTTTCAGGGAACCGACTGTGCTTTGCTGTAATCAGCACTTCATTGGTAAGAATGAAGAGGCTTTCCTGGATTTCACACCCAACCTGAATCAACAGTAGATTAGGTTTGGTTGCAATTAAGTTAGAATGTTAGAGGACAGCCTTGAATCCTCAACACAACATCACAAGGGTATTTCTCAATTTCTCAACCAGATTTCTACCCGGTGATTTTTTTTTTTTAAAGATTTGTTTATTTGAAGGGCTGAGTTTAAAGAGAGAAGGAGAGATAAGAAGAGAGAAAAATCTGGTTCACTGTCCCAAGTCGCTGTAATGGTTGCTACTAGGCCAGGCTGAAGACAGAAGCCAGGGGCTTCTTCTGGGTCTCCCAAGTGGCTGCAGGGCTCCAAGCACTTAGGCCATGTTTCATTGCTTTCCCACTCACGTTAGCAGGCAGGACTCGAACTGGTGCCCATATGGGGTGCCGGCAATGCAGGCAGCAGCTTAACCCTCTACACCACAACACTGGCCCCTATCCAATACATCTTAATACCCAATGTTTTCTATGCTCCCTACATCTTCAGCAGTTAACACCCTCCACTTGCAAGTTCCTCTCTCAGTGGCTTCCACCTGGGTCTCACCAGGATTTACTCTTCTCAAGGCTGACCACACCAGCGTAAGCAATTGTTATGCCTTTTTTTTTTGTATTTTTAAAAATGATTTATTTCATTTATTTGAAAGAGTTACCGAGAGAGGTAAAGACATCTGCTGGTTCACTCCCAAATAGGCTGAAATGACCAGGGGTAGGCCAGGCAGAAGCCAGGAGCTAGGAGATTCTTCCAGGTCTCCCACATGAGTGCAGGGGCCCAAGCATTTGGGCCATCCTCCGCTGCTTTCTCAGGTGCGTTAGCAGGGAGCTGCTAATCAAAGGTGGAGCAGCCAGGACTCAAACCAGCACCCATATGGAATGCTGGTGTTGCAGGCTGGGACTTTAATCGGCTGGGCCACAGCACTGGCCCCTTTCTTTTCTTTCTTTCTTCCTCTTTTTTTTTTTTTTTGTATTTTTAAAAAGATTTATTTTATTTATTTGAAAAAGTTACAGAGAGAGGTACACACACACACACAGAGCAATTGTTACACCTCCTTCCGGGCTTCTTCCTTCCCTAGTTAGTGTTCTAGATCATCTTTTGTGAAGATAAATGAGAAATTAAATGCTTCAGAACCCGAGAAATCTTCTCTGATTCATTATTCAGTTATTCAGCGGTTCATCATCTCAACTTTTATTTGATAAATACACATTTGGGTCCTTTTATGGGGCTGGGGCTGGGGCTGGTGCTGGGGCTGTGCCAGGCGCTCCATGCCCTCAAGGAACCTCTCAACCCTGTTTCACTTTCCCTCCACAGTCAAGCTTCTGGAGAGAGCAGCGCACATCTGCAAGCCCCGTGTTGCAATGCTGCTTCCTCACTCCTTCCTTTGACTTCTGCAGCATGACTTCTGCTGCTGCATGGAGCTACTTGGCAACGATCACTCCTGAGCACCTTGGTGCCAAACACACTGGGAACCTGCCAGGGCTTACTTACTCTGACTCCCTCTGCAGCCTTCAACACCCCCCTGACTGCTTGCTCTTTTTCTGGAGGTCACTTCCCTGGTTCCAGGACACTCAACTCCCTAACTGTTCCTCAAGCCTGTCTGCCTCTTTCTAACCCTCCCCCCATGGTCTCTTATTCCCATCCATATTTAGATAGTGTTCCCCAGGGTCCCAGCATCAACCCTCTTCTTGTGCACTTGACACTTCTTCCTGGGAAATCTCACTTTTGACTTTGAGCTTTGCACAGATGAGCCTCAAATGTCTATCTCCTACTTCTCTCCTGGGCTCCATAACCCATTGTCCAGCTACCTAGTGAGCTTCCCTTCTTTTCATGTCTTTGTTTTAAATTCTATTTTTTTATTTTGAAAGACAAAGAGAGATACCATCCCCTGGCTCACCCCATCCAAGGCCTGCAATAGCTGGGACTGGGCCAGGCTCAAGTCAGGAGCCAGGAACTCAATTTGAGTTTCCAATATGGGTGGCAGGGACTCAAGTACTTGGGCCATCTCCCACTGCTTTCCAGGACGTGCATTAGCTGGAAGCTGGAATACAGAACTGGAGCCAGGATTTACATGCAAGCATACCAGTGGGATCCCAAGTGGAGCCTTCACTGCTATGCCCAACACCCCTCTTGGGCTTCCCTTCTTGATGTCTCCATGACACTTGAGAGTCACCACGCCTAGAAATGAACTCCCTTCCTTCTTCTCCTCTATAAATTTGTTCTTTCCATCCTCGATCTTAAACATTTTCAGAATTGGCTTCCTCTCTGTTCTTGTACTGCCACCTCCATCTTCTGCTTTCTCTTGAAGGGACCGCCTCTTTCTGCCACTGTGCCCCATCTCATTCCTAAAATAATCTGTCCAAAGTGCTCACAAGACTTTGCTATTCCTCCTTTACATTTCTTTGAAACAAACATCTTCAACCACAGAATAAAAGGTGTATTTCTCAGGCTTCTACACCTTGCCCCAAATTCTTTGTGACCATAGCATTCTGCCCTCTAGCCATGGAAACCCATTTGCAGTTTTCTGCACTGAGCCAGTAGCCTGTCCCTCTCCTCCTGGGATGTCTGCATCCCAGGTCCTCTGGCTGCAGTGTCACTCCCCGCCTTCCCCAACTCTGCCCAGCTGGTCACCCTGTCCCTCACTCTTACAGCCGCAGCTATGTCTCCCCACCCATGAGGCTTTACCTCCCAAACCTCCACCCCAGGCTGAGTGCCCTGCCCCCAAAAGGAACTATCAGCCCCATGTGTCCCTCTTTTGTCACTTTTCACACAGGATTATAACTGCTGGGGGCCAAGCCCACTGCCCTACTCCTGGGGAGATACATTGGGTCAGGGGGTACCGACCCTTGCTTTTGTTCCCCCAGCCACTGTCTATTGAACAAGCTAATAACTCAATGACATTTATTTGGGGAGACAGACATGAACAAGTAATTACCTGGGGATTCCCAGCGACTGACATGTATATACAGGCATTGTGGAAACTGAGAGAACAGGGCCCCAACCTGCCTGGGGAGGAGAAGTAGGAAAGGCTTCCTGGAGGAAGTGGCATCTGAGAGTCAAAGCATCCAGGATGAGGGAGGGCAATGGTCAGGACAGAGACTTGAGGACTGAGGCTCCTCAGGACGCTTTCATGGGGGACTTGAGAATAAAGGCTCAATTCTGAACCCAAGACAATGGACAGAAAGCAGGTTTTCAAACACTGTCCTCTCTGTGCAGTTCTGAAGTGACTGTCCTTTTTACAAAAGGTTTGCTTTTTTTTTCTTTCCAGCCTTGTGTACCCTGTCTCACCTGTGCTATAAGATTTCTATTTCTGGGGCTGGCACTGTGGCATAGTGGGTAAAGCTGCCACCTGTAGTGCCAGCATCCTATATGGGTGCCAGTTCTAGTCCCAGCTGCTCCTCTTCCACTCCTGCTTTCTGCTATGGCCTGGGAAAACAGTAGAAGATGGCCTAAGTCCTTGGGCCCCTGCACCCACATGGGAGACCTGGAAGAAGCTCCTGGCTCCTGGCTTTGCATCTGCCCAGTTCCAGCCATTGAGGCCATTTGGGAAGTGAACTAATGGATAGAAAATCTCTCTCTCTCTTTCTCTCTCTCTCTGCCTCTGCCTCTCTCTAACTCTGCCTTTGAAATAAATAAATAAATAAATAAATGCATCTTTTAAAAAAGTTTTCTATTTCCTTAGAAATGCCTCCTGACACCAAGGACAATATTTTGGCCTGTAGTTACACATGTATCTATGTGACAGATTTGAAAAAAGGAATATAGCTTATTTTTTCAAAGCAAAATATTTCCATATGCAATGTTTATTTATCTATTTTCATTGAATATCAGTTAAAAATAAGAAAGAATTGCTTCTAATCACATATTACAGTGTTATAACATCCAAATAAAATCCACATTCTTTTATCATTTTCCTTAAAATGACTAATGTAAGACATAATGAAAATTTATCAGCTATTTTTCCACCTGTTAGGGCTAAGAACAATTTTTTAAAATATTTATTTATTTGAAAGTCAGAGTTACTGAGAGAGAGGGAAAGAGAAAGAGAAAGATTGTGCACTTCCATCTGCTGGTTCACTCCCCAAAAAGCCACAACAGCCAGGGCTGAGCCAGGCAGAAGTCAGGAGCCAGGAGCTTCCAGCTTCCTCCAATCTCCCACGTGGGTGCAGGGGCCCAAACACTTGGGCCATCTTACACTGCTTTCCCCAGGACGCTAGTAAGGAGCTGGATCAGAAGTGCAGCAGCCAAGATGGGAAGTGGGTGTTGCAGGCAGTGGCTTTACCTGCTACACCATGAGGCCAGCCCCAAGAACATCTTTCTTTCAAAGGGAGAATAAATGTAGTATGGAATCTGCCTCAGTGGGCTCCAGGCTCTTCTCCTGTGTCAGGAGCGCCTCTTTTTATTTTATTTTATTTTTTTAACTTTTATTTAATGAATATAAATTTCCAAAGTACAGCTTATGGATTACAATGGCTTCCCCCCCATAACTTCTCTCCCACCCGCAACCCTCCCCTTTCCCTCTCCCTCCCCCCTTCCATTCACATCAAGATTCATTTTCAATTCTCTTTATATACAGAAGATCAGTTTAGCATATATTAAGTAAAGATTTCAACAGTTTGCACCCACATAGAAACACAAAGTGAAAAATACTGTTTCAGTACTAGTTATAGCATTAAATCACAATGTACAGCACATTAAGGACAGAGATCCTACATGAGGAG